AGAGTAAACGATAGCATGAATACCTATGTAGAGACCTGGTAAATTAAATTATGGTAAAGACATAAAACAACATATTCTGCAACTATAAAAGAGAAAGGGATGGAATGGTGCTGAGCAATAAAAAGGAACAATTGATACATATAACTTGAATGAATGTCAAGGGAATTACGCCATGTGAAAAAAAAGCCAAAAAACCAATCCCAAAATGTAACCAAAAGGTTACATATTATATGATTTCATTTATATAACATTGTTTAAATGATAAATTACAGAAATGGAGAAGATTACTGGTTGCCAAGCGTTAGAGATGGGGGTGGACATACAGACCTGCACGTGATAAAATTGTATAGAAATACATCCACACAATACATATTCCATGCAATGGAATAGAAACATAGTTGAAGCAGTCTAAAATGTTCAGTAAAACTCCTTACAATAAGAAGGTAAGTTTGGGGCTGGCCGGGTGGCGCAGTTGGTTAAGAGCACAGCTCTGAGCAACAGGGTCGCCGGTTAGATTTCCACATGGGCCAGTGAGCTGCCAACAGGTGGCAGGATGGCTCAGCTGGTGAGAGCACATGCTCTTAACAACAAGGTTGCCGGTTCGACTCCCACATGGGATGGTGGGCTATGCCCCTCCCCGCCCCCCCTGCAACTATTGGATCATTGGGAAAGTCATGACGCATTTTTGCATTGAAAAACATGTCATGACTTTCCCAACGACCCAATAGATTGAAAGCGGTGACTGGATTTGGAGCTGAGCTTGCACCCTCCACAACTAAGATTGAAGGACAACAACTTCACTTGGAGCTAATGGGTCCTGAAAAAACAGGGTTCCCCTTCCCCAATTCCCCAATAAAATCTTTTTTGTTTTTTTCTTTAAAAGAAGTAGGTACCTTTGGAAAAATTAGAGAAAGGGAAGGGGGAGAGGGGAAATGAGAATGATAATGTTCTATGCATGATCTGAATGACCTCTTAAGACATACTATTAAAAAGAAAAAACAAGGTAGTGTGTGTAGCACTCTACCATTTGGGTAAACCAAAACAAAAATGTAATCAATACTCAATGCTTATCCTCAGAACTTTTCTTAAAGCACATAAAAGAAAACAGGAAACACTTGTTGCCTCTACAGATCGGGTAGTGGGAGGCTGAGGGTCGGGATGGAAGGGAGACCTTTAATATGCTCGTATATACTTTTGAACCTTCTGAATTTTGTACCATATGATTACTTATTCATAAAATTACTATTTTTTTCCTGAATATGTGAAAATCAAGGCAAATCAAAGCTTCAGTGCCTTCACCTTTCTCACCTGTGGTCTGGTAACTGCCTTCCCTCTGTTACTCCTCATTCCCTCCTGGGCACTTATTAGTCAGCCTTTGCACCTAAGCCTCTTATGCCTCCATACTGGTTCTGAAGATCAGTTTCTAGTTACCTGAAAATGTTTCTGAATTATTACTCTTCTAACCCTCAAACTACACTATTTGATAAGGCATAGCTCAGTCTATAGTAGCTGACTATAAAAGGTGACAATTACCTTCAAGCGAAAACTTTGAACTTCAAAAGCAGATGAAAATAAGTCAAAAAGTAATGATGACGATGATGACGACAGCTACCAACGTTTAAGCTTTTACATGTGTCTGGTACTGTGTCAAGCAGCTTACAAGCATTATCTCAGTTTACGACTCACAGAAACCTTTCATAGGTAAGTTTTGTTATTTTGCTTTATAGGTGAGGAAAATGAAACTCAGATACGCTAAATGATTAGTTTAAGGTAACACAGCTCCTAAGAGAGGAACTTGAACTTACATGAGGGTCTGCCAATACTAAAAATAAGGAATTATACTTCTATGGCTTAGTAAAATTCATCTGCTTTGGTAGCTCTAAGCTCTAAAATCTATCTGAAACAGTTACATGGTCTCTTTGTAGCTGACAATCTGTCTCTTTTAGTGTCTTAGCAGTAAGGTGGGCTTTAGGCACTTATTAGTACCAATATAGTACCTGCAAATTACATAGTGAGCAGGATACAATACTTAACAAAAAGCTTAGGGGCCTCCAAAGTAAGAAAACCTAGGTTGAAATTTTTTGTCAGTCCAATTCAGGATTTCATGCTGGGCACCAGATGAGACAGACGGAACTTACTTTGGTTTGCCCAATCAACAATCAGAGTTCTTTCACTAGGGAAATTAATCCACCCAGAAAATTTAAGATTATATCTTTATCAATAAACTTCTGAATCACTGATACCAGAATCAAATTCAAATTTCTAGAAAATTACGTGAATCAAATAAGGGTCAACAAATAGACTACTGTGTATTATTGATGGTTTTTTATCTCTGTAATGAGTCACAACATATTTTGACTATGCCATCTTACCTGTAAATAAATGATTCCCAAACAGAAAAATGTATGCATGTCATCTACCAAGTTACTTCCACAAGGAGTTTACAAGTAGAGTTGAATAATTAAAAGTGAAAGATTTTAGGGCCGGCTGAGTGGCATGCTGGTTAGGAGTTGGTTTGGGATGCCAGCTCTGAGCAGTAGGGCCTCGGTTCGGATCCCACATGAGGGCCAGTGATGCTGCGCCCTCTACAGCTACAATGGTGAACAATAGCTCGACTGGAGCTGGGCTATGAGTCGCCGGCGACGGCTTAGGCTGCAGTGGGGCTGCTGGCAGCTTTCGTGAGCTACTGTGAGCCACTGTGAGCGGCCATCCTATGGCCAGCGAGCGACTGCCTCACCCGGGAAGAGCACAATGATAATACCAACATGGGCCAGTGAAGCGACATCCTTCACAACTAGACTAAAGAACAAAAGGACAGCAACTTGTCTGTTCCCCTTCCCGAATTCCCCAATAAAATCTTAAAAAAAAAAAAAAAGTGAAAGGTTTTACATTTAGTTTAAAATATCTGAAACGTTAAAGATATCAGGAACTTTCCCCTAAATCAGACTATTTTCTATTAAGACACAAGACACCACAAAAGATTTTAAATAAACTTATGATTAAAATAAAAAATTTAAAACACATACCAAGCAGCTTTCTGAGATAAGGAAAACAGTGTTAATAAAATAACAGTAAAATGCTAGCAAATAAATGGAACCCAAGTTCGGTCCTCTGTATTCCCAAGGACATCTCTTAAGAAACTTAAGATATATGTGCTATCAAGGCATTTTCTGTCCATACAAAATTTCTTCCAAGATATCCTTGGACCTTCTAATCTATTCTTCTTCTGATGATAATGTAAATTCAAGAATTTCTTAACAGTCTCATATCTGACTACTAAAGTTAAATATCAAATGACAGGCTCTATTTTGTTCTTTTGGTGCCTAATCCGTTTTTTCATTAATCTCCTTTCATTGAGGTTATTTGCTATGCCAATTTCTTAAGGCAGGCAACATTCTATGTTCATCCCCTAGGACCATGTTAATCCATATCTTCCAAAAATCAGTAGAGGTCATTCCTGACTCTGTAAACTCTTCCCCAGCCCCTCTTTACATAATATCACAGACAAAACAAAGCCATGGCTGCAAGGCAAAAACATGATGGATTTTAAGCAATTCATGGGTGATTACCACTTCTTATTTCATTGGCATTCTGAACACTGCCAGTCAGAATATCAAAAGGTTACGAAGACTGAAGTTAAACCATCCTCTATACGAACATATATGCCTCCATTTTCTTATGAACTAGAGAACACACTGGAAATTTTGTTCTTGATGAGACTAGACAGTCAGCAGATTCAGTAACTAGTGAGTCTTTTTATATACAATAATTCTATTGGCTACCTTATGATGTACTTGCACTCAACACAACAAAGGCGGCTGAGAAAGGTCGATACATAGAAACAAACTGTTGGCCAACAAGCAACCAAAGTAGCTTGTTAAATACCACAAACAGTGCAAGTTATCTGGCAAACTGTACATTCAATATTGACTTGTTAGTGAACTTAAAGCCTCTTACATGTAAACATTTAGAATTTCAGGGAGAATGAAAGCATAGAAAGTTGTCAGGATTTCCCATTAATCTTCAGTTCCATCATTTCAAGTTCTTGAACCCAAAGTAGTACTATTCACATGCTAATAAATATTATCTCTATACACACAGTATTTAATGTAGGTCATAAAACTAAAAGGTTTTTGTCTGTAGCCCGAAAGTGAATATTTCAAAATATTCAGCCTTTTGTGAACAAATTTACAACTTGCTGAGTTGGAGTACAAAGTACAAATGAGGTTTGAAGGAAGAAGGCTCTTCTCTGTCTTCTCATGCTAGAAAACAACTTTTTTTTTCTTTGCAGAATGAAAAAGGGAAGAGCTCCTTTTCTGTTTTTACATAGGAATGATATTTGGGCTTTAGCTCTGTATGTTTCTAGGTTCCACCTGGTACTACCCACAAGAGAGGAAACTTTTTGCAGAAGGCCACGCTTTCCAATCACGGGTAATCTGGCAAGAACCTGAAAACCTGAGAGGTTTAAAGGCTGCCTGTCAGAGGGCCCTGCGTCTCTATACTCCTTCTTGCAACCGTGATTTAAAAAATCAACAATTCAAGTTCAGTACCAAGGTAATAAGCTCCTTTGTTCCATGGAGTACATTAAGCTCTGTCCATCAGGAGTCAAAGTGAGAGTGGGGAAAAATCAAAACATAACAGCACGAAGTAAAACAGGGAAGGAAAGAAGAGAGGAACACAGAGATCAAGAAAATGAAATAATAAAACATCATGTTACAGAACAGATGTCCTCCAGGGAACTGATGAATATTTGAAATTGTTTCTACTCATCTTCTTTAAGATACAAAGATAGAGGAAGAAATCGGCAATAAAACAAAGAGGAGTGTTTTGAACGTCACTGAGCCTTGTGTTACAACATGCGCTATGGAACCACTGAGCTATATAATATATAATGATCAACGAGAAAGAAGTTTCGGGGTGTTCAGCCAGCATGTGATTACAACACGCCATATTACAAAAGCAATAAAAATGAAATTAAGAAAACAAGAGAAAGGGGCCCATGCTGTATAGCCCATGAATCTCATCGGCTTTATCGTGACGTTTATTGTTTTTAATCCTAGTACAATCAGCTACCAGTTACATACAGTAAAAAACAAGAACAGCCACAAAGCAATGATGATAGAGATAGTCCGTGACATCGTACAGTGGAGAAAATATTTTCTGTTGGAACCCTCCAGCAGATCCCCACCGGCTTCAGCAGTTAAGCTATCACTCCCTCCCTCCCCAAAATAGTTCTTAAAAAAATTAATGTCTTGCTTAGGTACAGCAAGGTTCTAATACCTCTTGGGGACACTGGATAACTTTAAAAAACTAAAGCAGTAGAAACAAAACAAAAACTGAAACGTGGAAGCAAGAGGACACACAACGAAGCTCCATGAGGCCTTGGCTTCAGACCACCTCCAAGCGAACCACCTGGAAAGAAAAGAAAAGGCTGTCACGCCAGGAAGGAACAGGCAGGAAGTTCAGTAGACCTCAACACGTCATCACTCCACTCCTTCACAAATCTACAGAGTCCATGCTTTTCTCAAGTCTTGTATTTTTATAAGTGAGCCAGGTTTGTAGAAAATTGCTTCCTTTCCCAATATCCTGTGTTATATATATTGGCAACCAGCACACACTTGCTCTTTTAGAACCAGAAAATACAGAAAACGAAGCATTTTTAACAAAGCATGCTGTCTTCTCTATCTCAAACCCTTCAAAACAACCATGCAGTAGGTTACTTACATGACTATGTACCCTTACCTTAGGGGAACAATTGACTCCGTTCAAAAACTAAGTCTCATATATATTTGGTTCGATTGAGGGCTTTTTCAGCCAGATGACCACTTTCATCTGTGATCTTCTCCCAATCAGTCTGTCCGACCACAAAACCTATGGCCCTTTTCCTATCTGCGTCCTTCTTTTCCTCCAGGTCTGCCCATCTCACCTAAAAAGAACACAGCATTAGGCTGGGCTTTAGGAGAAATAAATATGCATAGGGTCTCTTCCTTCTATGGACAGTCTAAGAGGTAGGATAACTAACATGAAACCAGGCGTTTAAAAAATTAGAAATTAACTGGGAGACTAGGAGAAAGGCATGTATCTTAAGTTACAGAAAGAAAACTCTCGAGTCAACCACCAAGCCTTAACCAAGCCTTAACCATTCCAGCTCCCACCGAATTCAGCTCTCAGCTCAGTACTGTCCCCACCATGTCCTCTGTCACTCCTTTTTAGGTCACTGACCTCATTCTTGACCTGAAGTCAAGCCCTAACCTCTTCCTAGTCTTCCTGTCTGCATCCTCACTTCCTCCGATCCATTTTGCCAGAACGCTCTCCTTAGAGCACAGCTGTGACTGTCGTCGGCTTTACTCCCTTCTCCCACCTTCGGAATAAAATCCACACGCACGGGGCCTCTGAACCTGGCCCTGTCTCCTCTCCTGCTGCATCTCTGGGCAGTGCCTACAGAATAACTTCAGCTAGAAACAGCTTCTTACATGTCAGGGTCCCTCCTAATGTACCTATAGGTACTGTTATTGAGATTTACAATCTCTCTCTCTTTTTTTTTTTTTGCCATTTATCTTAAACTGTAAAAAAAAAATGTTACAGCACAGTAAAATCTTGACTAACACTGACACTGAAAGGTTTGACGTACATATATTTCATCCATTGTCACTAAAAATATTTCTAAAACGAATGTTTTCAGCAAACAATAAAGGGAAATGTTCACTTTCCAGTCATCACAGAAACACAAATTAAAAGTCCACTTGAGCTACCATTTTACATCCAACAAAACAAATGAAACTTTAAAAACATAAATTATATTTTAAAACCTGTCCATTCTGGTAAAATTCTAATATGATCAACTCTACGGAATGACCTTTCCTTATGGTGGAAGTTAATCCCAGGAACCTGCATGGCATTTGTAAAAAGCTGAGTTATAGAAATCAAGAGCACCCAGGAAAGGAATGGGTAATGCATTCTGCATTCCTTGCCACCCGAAGCATCTCCTGGTGCTCTGATGCTGATTTCGGTGAGTGGTTTGAGGGTTACAAACTATGTGAAATGAGGTGCAGCAGGGAGGAGAGTCAGAGTGGAGCCACTTTAAAGACTAGGATGTGTATAGCTCAGTTCTTTGCCCACCCACTTTTACAGTCAATTACATGGGGTCACACACTCCTTACTGAAGAGGGTGACAGTCATCTAAAAAAAAAAGAATCAAAGCAAAATATTTCTCATTTGAGATTATTTATCATTACCAGAACTACACCAAAATGTTATATGATTCCCAAGGAAGAGCTATTTCTACTTCTGTTATCCCAACCTAAAAACTGGAAGGAGAGGTATCAATCAAAATCGTCCCTGGGTGGAGCTGGGCACCTAACGGTCACTAATCAGACCTCCCTTCCCCATCTCCTCCAGCTACACAGACAAAGGTAGGCTAGGGACTGTGAAGGATTTGAAGGAGCTCTGAAGCCCAGAGTTCTCTGATGGTATCCACTGTAATGAAGTTTTACTGGCATTTTTATTTTCTTACAGTAAATGTTCTTTTACTAGTAAAGTACTGAGGAAATTCATAAAAAAAGCAATGATGTATAAAGAAATGACATACAACCTCATTCTTAATTAAAGAAATGTAAAATGAGACATCTTTTTTTTCGCCTCAGATTGTCAAAAGTTAAAAAGTCTGATAACAGCACTGTGGGGGCAAGTGTGAAAAAATAGGCATTTACTTACATGTGGGTGTATAAATAGATGTAACCTTTCTGGAAAGCAATCTCACAATATCTGTCAGAAATGATAAATCATATTCTATGAGCTTGCAGCTTTAGTGCTAAAAATCCACCCCAGGGATTATAGATCGCTTTCAAAAAGATGCCAAGATATACACCATGACTTTCACCATAGTATTTATATTAGTAATAAAATGGAAACAGCATAATTATCCACCAATAAGGGAGGAACTGGATAAATAACTGATTGTATAACCAAACAATGGCACACTAGGAAGCCACTTAAGTAGGTCTGTACATACTTCTAAAGATCAAGACACATTAGCTGAAAAAGCTCATGCAGATCATATATGATATGATCCCTTTTGCTTTGTTAGTTTGTTTTTAAGGATATATACAAATACCACTTTTACTGAATTTGACATCTATGTGGAAGACCTATCCAACTTCATTTCTCTGCTTCCTTTCATAGCAAAACTTCAAAAGTTGTCTACATTTGCTGCCTGTATTTCTTCATTTCCCATTCCTTTTTCAGTCTGTTCCAAACTAGCTTCTGTCCTTCAGCTAAGAAAACTTGACTGATTGTTGATCAATCAGCCAAATTCAATAGCCATATCTCTATTCCCAATTTACTTGTCTTCTCTGTATCATTTAAGACTATTCTTTTACTTCTTGAAACATTTGCCTATGTAAACTTCTAAATTTTGGAGTCCTGAGTCCTATTATCATTTCTGACTTAATTGGTCCCTCACTGAACTTCTAATTTTTCACTCTCAAACTTATGACTCCCCCCACTCCCCTCCCGTCTTCTCTAACTCAGTAAATGGCACCAAATAAATGGACTGCTTATGGCCAGGACCCTAAAAAGTCACCTTTGAGTCTATCCGCTCCTGGACACTCTACATCTAATCCATTAAGAAGTCCTACAGATTCTCTTTAACCCTCTACTCTGCACCTGGCTCTGTTGCCCCATGACGAAATGGCACAAGTGGCCACTCCAAACTCCTTCAAGGTTGACAACATGCTAGCCATGTAAGGTTCAGTTCTCCATTTTTAAGTTCTCTGTACATTTTGATCTGATAATTTGTGAGGTCTGACTCATTTTTCTGAAATGTAGTATGATATAGTATAAACTTAAGTCACTCTAAAAAACAGCATTCAAATGCTTATCTGTCTATAACTTTCTAAAACCAGATGCCTAAATGGGCCCTTCATTCGTTGGCAGTTATTGATAAAGTCTCTTACCCTCTTCTTCCCAGGCTCAGAAGCACGAGTATCATAATCGTCAGGGAGCTGAAGATAATCCTCCATTCTGCTGGCTATTGCCTCCCAGTCACGTTTCCTTTTAGTACCAGTTCTCAAGCCATCCAACTTGTCTGAGGGACAAACACAGAGCCGCAGCATTAAGGAAGAGTGTGAGTTTGCACACAACACACAAACAAGGGAAAGAAGGCTGGAACACTGTCAGAGGGCACATCCACAGTTTTGGAAGCAGCATCACTTGCAGATCCAAACTATCTTCTTAGCTGAGATAACATCAAGTTCTGTACAATTCTCATTGCTTATTTGGTGTTCATATTGGCAGCCATTACATTACGATGTTGGTTTAAGTAACAAATATGGGCAGAGCAAAAAAAGGCACTTGTCTCCTGGCCTCCTTGTCTTCTACCTCCCACATCACACTTTAGCTTTCATGTTATGAAGGAAAATGCAGAGTTGGGTTTCTGTAAAAACAATTTCCTCCATTCTTTTTCTTTAACACAATATTAACACCACCCATCTGATCTGCAATCATGTGTCATATTGAGTCATATGAAAAGCAGGTAGTACCAAGAACTTAATGAGCCAAGCTAATGTTTTAAAAGGTTTTAGATTAAGTTTCTTGGGATTTTGACCTCTGTGAGAAGATTCACGGGTTAATGTTTATGAGTAAGTTGACAGTACAAACCACTACTTTCTTTGATTGTACTATGAAGTGATGTTGACCATTCTAAGGCTACGGGCTAGTCAGCCAAAGTGACCAGATCTGAATTTTCTTTCTGAATCCTCGATCTGAGAAGGCTAAGTTTCCCAAGGGCCTAAAACTGTAATCAATTAAATGAACAGGGATTGTCGGTTCAGAAATTATGAAATATACGTTTAGGTGTTTTTAAGAAGAACATATGATAAAAATGGGTCTTTTTTATTAGTTGTTAATACAGATTTGAATTCTACATGTGAAATGTTATGAGTTACAGATATTTTTAATTACATTGAAGCACTAAACTTTTGAATCATCTATAGTTATATAAACACACTGTTATTAAGCAGGTCAATAAAGGAAAACTTAAAAACTTCAGAAACAATAGCCACATTTCATTGAACTCCATAAAGGGTGCAGAGTATATATAATAGAAGTCTTTGAGGCACCAAGTTGGAGAGAACTTGATATGAAAAGTACAACGGAAGCAGAACTTGATATGGAAAGTACAACGAAGAGAGGGTGAGTTTATGTTTCAAATGTAAAAGTTGCACACACAACTAACTGTACCATACCATACGGGCTACAAAAACCAGTAAGATTTTGCATAATTAGCAAAGCTTTTATTTCCTAAAACCCTCCCCCATACTACAATACTTTACAAAACTCAAGCAATTTTTATCATCTCACTTTGGAAAATTTTCACATGGGTACGTTTAACATAAACAGTCTCTTAATCTCCTCTATAAATCACATGCTATACCAAATGGTTCTATATACATGTATATGACAGGCCATATTATAAAGGATCTTAAAGAAGTAACCCTTTGATTATACAGGGACACAGGATATGTTATTAGAAAACCAACGGAGTCCCACAAACAATAAAACTGTTCTCGGTTCACCAGTGAACAGTATTATGGAAGAGTAGGAAGCTCCAATGCACTTATTAAATAAACTTCAAAGGATTTCCCAACTAATAAGATCAACTTTGACATTAATATACTTCAAAGGAAAATTTCATAATTCAATTCCAAGAATAGAGCATGGCCAGACAACACTGCAGAAGGACAGTGCGGAAAATGCAATAACTTTTCCTGATACACTGGGTATATGACAAGAGTTACAGACCAGGAGTCCCATATTTGCAACATGGAAATTCAGAAGAGCGTGTATTTCTAGTCTGAACATCCTTGGTTATAATGGGTAATTTGAAATTTTATTGTGCATAACATGTTTAGTTTCCTTTTCGGGGCTGAAGAAAGGTTCATACCTCTTCCACATGGCATCCTGGACACCCAAACACGCAGATGTATGGCATAAGGTGAAGGAAGAGGAATCTGGGGTGTTAGTTACAGAAGACGACTGGTGTCCAATACACTCATACTAGTGATTTTCAGGGGTTTAAGCTTCAAAATATGAAGTTTTAAGATAAAGATGAAGGTTTAAATACCCAACTTGGCTGGTTCCAGAATTTTACCATACCTTCAAAACAGTATATATTACTACAGCACAGCAGAACATTTTTTTTAGATACATCTATGTATTTTCTAAACATAAACGGTGTTTCTGAACATGTGTCCATCATGAACATACAGGGGTATGTGCCTATACAAATAATAACTGCGTTCCAACTGGGAAGAGGTGAAACTCCCTGACAGATAGAAGGCCAATACACAATAACTCATAAACAGCGACAAATGACAGAGATGAGAAAAGCAAAAGGACTTGATATGGAGAAAACGAAATCATGTCATTGGATTTAAGTAGCTTCAATGCTGAATCCCAGCATCTGAAGTGGCATGTAACGCCCATCCTTGCATTAGGGTGCCTTGGGTCCCAGCTGGGAAGGAGTCAGTCGGATGCGACTGAAGGGGGGCCACAGGCAGACTTCAACAACTCCATGACACCCATGCTGGTTGTAGTTCAGGCCAGTTCTGAAAATTACAGCACTTCTAATTTAACACTCAAACATAGGCTGAATGAACTGTATACGGTACTTAGTGAAACGAACACAGATTAAGAATCTGCAATGAGATTTAACCCACTCGTTGAAAGATTATAGGCAAGTATTTTCTCAATGACAGACTCATTTGTGCATCAAAATTCCTCAGTTACAGATTCAGCTCTTCTGGCGCAATGTGTGGCACTGCTAAAGCTTAATATGTTTCCATCCAGAACAATCACATTAGCAAATGTAACTTAAGAATGTTGGTAAAGTACTCGGAAAAATAAATTGTACCTGGTCATCAAATCTACTGAATTTGTTATGATAAGGAAAGCAACGTAAATAGGCTAATTCTCAGATGATGATCCTCATATTTTAGAGAAGAATCTTCTCAGTTCTTCTCAGAGAAGAACCAATCTCAAAGAAACAAGCACTTTCAAGAATGCTCACACTCAATTTGCTTTCCTCCATAAGAGGATTAGCTCTCAAGATAACACAGTGGTGGTGCCAAATGCAAGTCATTATATGAAACATCAATGTCACTCTTATTAAAAATAAATAAAAACCCAACTGCAAACACATAAGAATTTTCTAGATTCATTATTAGATATTCAGTGCCTTTAACTGAAATGGTTTACTTAACAAATCCATTTCTGGGATTCGCAGTGTAACATTCTGTCTTTAAAATGACTGAATTTGTATAAAATGCATTTCCTGAGAAGCAAATGGTAGATAGACCAGATCTTTTTACCCCCAGAAATCAATACCAAGATTATTTTCTTGAATAATCATAACTAAATTCCATTTTCCTTTCTCTTTAAAAATTAGAAGGAAAATATAAAATAGATTGGCTCAAGCTTAAAAAAGCTTTACCCTAGATCATATATTACATGAGGTCTCTGGTTATATGTGTAGCTAAATTATTTCTCAGTTTTATAATCCCTTTGTCTCTTTATGATCTCGTTTTGCCCCAAAAGATAATCACTATTTAGAGAACCAGAAAAGAGGAACGTGATCTTTCAAGTTATCCTAAAAGTACAGAATTTCAAACATTCTTAATCTAATGTCAAAATAAGCAGATCTAAAGCATTATTGTTAAAAGTAAGTTGATATTATTTTACTACATATTTAATTGCATTTAAACACTTATAAATGCTTTAAAAGTTTAGGAAAGGAGATAGTTGGTCATTATTAAGATTTCCCACAGAGGGAAGACTAATGGAAAAATATGTCAGTAACCACATATAATTTTCACATGACACACACTAGAAAAATATTCTAGACTTTACAACAAAGCACCTTCCCAAAATATAGTAATACTACAGTTTACGGAACTATCTTTTAACATAGGACCTGGTCAGTATCAACTGCCAACGTGATCAGTTGGGCATAATAAAAGGCATAGTCTATGTGACTGTGTCAAAGGCATATATCTGACATCAGGAACACAGACAATGGGTCCCGAACAGCAAAGCAGCTGAGTGGCTGAAATCTGTTCTATGAATTTAAGATATTTAGATGGATACTTCACTTCTGGAATAATAGCATGATATCAAGAAGAGAAACACAGAGACCGACAGCCACATTTCATATATGTAAGGTCAATCTTCTCAAAAAGTCCTTATCACATTTTCTTAAATTATTTATTAATATATCTAAATCCACATGTTAAATGGTTTTAAGTGAGGTAAAAACTAAAACAAAAAAACTGAAACTATGTTTTGCAGTATTACCATGAAATATTGGAGGAAAACCCGTTGGATATGTATGATTTTCTGCTTGACACAGATCACCTCACAGTAAGCAACTCCAATTTTTGATTTAGACAATCATTTTAACCAGTTTACCTTGTAATCTGGCACTAAAGGCAAGTTGAAGGAAAATATAAATGAAATCTTATAAGCTCCTCAGAAACCTGAATTATGTATCTACCACCCCGTACCCAGGAATTCTAATTTATTTTACAAGGAAAATAACTGCCTTTTAATTAATTTTGAAGCTTCAATATTTAGCAATATTTATTATTACTACTATTACTACCCAAAGTATTCATTATCCCATTCAACTTTAGACTGCAGTTAAATATTCGTTTAGAAAAGCAGAAACCTCATCGGCACCAACATTTCTGATTAATATAAAAGAATGGATTTTAGAAGTGATGGTATTTATTACTAAGTTTACCACATATTTCTGCTTCCTCTAAAAACTTTAAGTGGTATTGAAGGTAGTTCTTCTAAAATACCCTTCTTTCACTTTGTCACAAGATATGACAAGTTAACCTGAAAGCTGACAAAATAGACGAAAGATGTAAGGTAGGCCAAAAATCTTGATTTATGCAGAAATTTGGGGAAATTGTTCTTACAGCAGAAAGATCTATGACCATTACCATCAGGTATCACATATAAAAACAGGAAAAAGGAAATACCCACCTAGCTTTGCCTCAGATGTGTCCATCTCCCATTTGCTTTTCGGAATGTAACCCTAAATCGTACACAGAGAGAAGCTCGAAGGGTTAGAAAGAGACACATACATGCATATCACTTTTGAATTGGAAAAGCATTAAAACTGGGAATGGATTCAGTTTCCACTCACTAGTCATAAATATATCCCTAGGGAAAACAAAGTCTCATTATCTTTGAAGAAACTGAATGATCAAATTCATCAAACTTCACAGCCCAGACTTCAGAGTAGTCACTTCAGAATAGTATGAAGGCGCCTGGAGGAAGCTACAGTTCAAGACACACAATTGCAGTCTGAACAACAGCTGTATAGTAAATATGGTAAGAATGTACGGTAGTTACTGTGCTAACATTAATATCATTCAGAGCAGCAGAGGATTTATAATACTAGCTAGGTTCTTTTCTAATTCAACTGCTATTCTCAAGTGATAGTAGCCATGAGGTCCAAAGAGTATTTTTCAAGACAGTTACTTCATAGTCTAGCGTAATTGTAAATACTCAAAAGAAAGGAGAAAACTTGTTACCACTGAACAAGTCTCAAGTTCAACTTCATTTTAAAGTGACTCAATCCATTTACTAGTTAGATCTTACAAAGCCTAATTTTACTGAGTCTATTTCAGAGCATTTCTTTTTCAGTAGTTGGAAACTGTTTATTATTTCTGATGTCTTTTAAAATTACATTTTCCTATTACATGAAAAACCAGGCATTGCCACGGGCAATATGCATCTTATTTAATAAAATAACTAGGTAGTTTATTTCAAACAAAGTCCCATAAGATTTTCAAATTTCCCAATGTACCTATTTAACTATGTAGTAATCCTTTCAGTTTATTCACCTGGCAAGTGTATGCTTTTTCCATGTAATTTACTATGATTCCCCTTTTCCTTTATTTGGACTCTGTTCTTTATTAGAACCTAACATACAGAACTTTAATACTAGGATTTAGTATGTTGAACAGATTCATCAAAGGTGTCAGCATCTTCTTTTAAGAATCAATCTTTCTCTCTACTATTGACAATGTTCAAGGTCATAGAACAGACTGACACACAGGTAAGTTGGAAAGTATGTTGAATATTTCACGACAATAGCTTCTGTATAAGAGTTTACTAGAGCATTATCATTCTTTCAGGAAACCTATAGGTCTTATACATTTCTAGTATTTCAGCCAGACTAATAATTCCATTTCAGCTCACTAGGTAGTATTTCAGGTTATAAATTATACCATCTTTTTCAAATACATTTTGAGAACAAACCAAGACAAAGCTATGCTGAAGTGATGGTGCTAAAAATTAAGTATTGATGAAATTTGTACAAGTTATGCTTTAAAACCTTAAGCATCACTAGAATAATTATAAATTTTGAGTCATATCTACCAGGTTCACTGAAGCACCAATGAAGACAAATTATCAAACCAATGATCCCCCCAAAAGGATTCTCTTAACCAAGAAAAGTTTGGCTTTCACCCAGCCGTAGTAATCAGTACAGAGTAGAAAATGCAAAGTTTATTGAGAATTGCATTAAATGGTCTGAATGACATGAAACTTGCTCTTAACCCTTTGGTTAAAATTCTCCAAGAATCTTTTACTCTTGGAATTGAACCCAATAGTAGAAGATCTGGATTTTGAATTTTTGAATGGGTTAAGAGCAGTTTTATAACAAAGATAAGCAAAGCGAGCATGTTAATTTCCCCCTGCTGGAACTACCCTGTTCTTACTTAAAACTACATCATCGTCTCACTGCTTAACATGGTAAGCCACTTGGAAATAAAAGAGATAGTCCAGCAGGGTAGAGTTCTAAGGCTTCCTTGCCATGTTTCTGATGTAAAAATGTAGTATTACAGTGTGTTTTCTTTTTTGAAATAATAGTGCACTCAATTGAAAGTTCTAAGTTTTGACCTATACCTAAGCAAGTCATATTATGAACCAAATCCTGAACTGAAATCTTCACAAAAAGCAGAGCTTCAGAAAACATT